AGATAGGGAGATTATTCTGTATTGTTTGGCTGAGCCAATGTAATCAGAGAGGCAAAAGAGAGTCAGGGAGATGGGCCTAAGGAAGCAGGGGCAGAGATGTGCAATGCTGCTGGCTTTGAAGATGGAGGAAGGGGTCTCCAGGCAAGAATTATGGGCACCCTCTAGAAGCTAGAAAAGGCAGGGACATGAATTCCCCCCTACAGCCTCCAGAAAAGAATGCAGCCCTATCAACACTTTGATTTTAGCCCAATGAGACTGATGTCAGGCATCTGACCTCTAGACCTGTAAGATACTAACTCTGTATTATTTAAAGCCACAGCATTTGTAGCAGTTTGTTATGGTAGCAACAGAAAATGAACACCCCCCCACTTCAAATCAACATAGAATCTTAGGAGAAACAATAACTTGCTTTGCAAACACAACTATGAGGTAAGCCATGGTCCCTGCGGCCAGCCACAGGTCTAGGAGTAAGTACCTCCTTTGCTGAGCTTCTGGAACCAACTCTGGGCTACTCCAAAGCTCTGCCTTTGCCCATCTTGGTTTGATTGGTACATTGAACATGGGAATCTTGATTTCAGAATCAACATTTCTTTCCAGACCCTACTTCTGAGCTCTGGGTCAATGTTTCCAATATGGATATCCTAGAGGCACCTTAATCTCAATGTGGCCCCAGGAATCATCACCTTTACCCTTAAACCTGCTTTTCTGGCTAGATGTCTGTGCTTTTATTATGGGATCCCATTTACCCAGCAAATCTTACCTTTTCAGGCATACCCCTTTTCCACCCCAGATTCATCCTGTGTCATGCACTCTACCCATTCCGTGTCCCTCCTATTCCTATTTGTTGTCCTAGCTCAAGACCTGAGGACTGTGACCGTAGCCTTGGCACCGGCAGTCCCAATCCAACCCCAACAGCCCCAACTCCCTCAATCTCACACATCCCCTGCACTCTTGGGAGTCACCTTGCCAATGCAGACTGATCACATAACGAATACTCCAAAACCTTTTAATGCTCTCTCTTGCTCATGGAGTAATGCCCCAATGTCATGCTCTCACCAAAAGCCAAAACACACTCCCTAAATCTCCTCCAGCCGTAGCACCCAACACATCCCTGTATCCTGGCATTCTCTATGAGCCTGGGATGCTGGTCTCCTGAGCCTGGACTAAGTCTTGCCTTTTCCCACCTTTGCACCTTTGGCCTTGAACACACATTTCTGCTGTATCTCCTTCCTAAGCCCACAATGTCCCTCAATGGCAAGAGTAGCTGCTGTTTACCACTAAGTCACATGCTCCTACAGGCTGGGCCTGTGCATGATGTCATTTGTAGGGACATCATTTCACTGCATCTTCATAACCACCATATTTTACTGATGAGGAAGTGGAGGCTTAGAGAGTGACTTGCTGTGGTGCTTTTAAAATATGTCCACACATGCTTTGATACACCTCCTTTCAAAAGGTGGAACCTAATTGTTCTCCCTATGAATGTGGTACTCCAGCCATGCTTAGTGATTCACTTCTCTCAGACAGAATGTGGTGGAAGTAGGGGTTTTTGCCTTCCAAGAGTGAGTCATAAGAGGCACAGCAGCTACGTTCTTGTGCTTGAGTCTCTCACCCTGAAAGAGGCCAGTCACCATGTCATGAGGACACTCAAGCAGCCTACGGAAAGGTCATGTGGAGGAACTGAGGCCTTCAGCCACCACTGTGTGTGAGCCGACTTGAAAGTGGTCCTGTAGGCTCCGACAAGCCTCTGGATGATGGTGGCCCTTGCAACCTCTTCACTACAACCCAAGAAAGACTCCAAACGAGAACCACCCAGCTAAGCAGCACCTAAATTCCTGATCCGCAGAAACTGTGAGGTAATAAATATTCATTTATTGTTTTAAGTCACTATGTTTGGGCTAATTCATTACAGAGTAATAGATAGCTAAACACTTACCCAGGGTCATGCCCTGGGTAAGTGGCAGAGTAGGGATTCTGAACACTGGTTTTTCTGTCCCCAAAGCTCAGGCTCTTAACCCCAAGCCAATACTGCCTAAAGTACTAGTTTATATTCTGCTTCTTTTAAAAAGCCTTAACTGAGTCTCTCCCTCAAAATTCACCTTCCTCCTCTCTATACCTTTAAGCCCTACTCAAAATGCCCAGGCGTGGGCTCCTTCCCCAACAATCGCCACATTTGCCTAATAGCCACCTCATTTCATTTTCAACTTCCCAGTTCTAGGCTCTCAGCTTTAGTGTCTACATTTCAGTGTTGCCAATGAAGACTAAATGAGATAATATGCGTAAAAGCGCTTAGCAGAGAAATGGCTCCATTACACTCTTTATTAATAGTCGGCTACAATTATACTATCTATTTCTACCTGTGGGTGAGCTCTCAACTCCAGCTGTATCTTCGAATCGCCTAGGAAACTATTTAAGAAAATTCAAAAACACCAATGCCTGGACTAACCCTGAGTTAGTAGGTCTGATTTTAAAGGTTTTGGGTGAAGCCAGAAAACAAAAGTTCCCCAGATGATTTTAAAACGCAGCAGGTAAAACACTGCTGGGTTAGATCAGAGGTTTTCAGCAGGGAGGATCTTGCTGTCCTTTCCTCTGCGCTGATGCCCCCACCCCCGCCCCACCACCTCCCTGACATTTGGCCAGTGTCTGGAGACATTCCTGATAGTGATGACTACAGGGGGTGCTACTGGCATCTAGTGGGAAGAGGCCAGAGATTCTGCCAACTGTCCTACAGTGCACAGGCCAGCCCCACAAATCTATCTGCTGCTAAGTGTCATTAGTACCAAAAACTGGGAAACCTGGGTTAGATATTGTTTCCCGGCTTCTGCTCTTGTTCTCTTGAAGAACACTGGTTCCTGCTTGCCTCTCTGACTCTCCCTGTTCACTAGTATGTTTGAGAAGGAAATAGCACCTGAGGTCCTGCCTTTCAAAACCAAATGTGGGCACCGACAAACTTGGCCGCTGCCCTGGCGGGGCTGGCTCCAGGACTGCCAGGAGGGCCTAGTGATGGTTTTATGCTTCTCCATTTCCCTTTTGTATGTTGTTAACATCTGTATGACAACGCTCACAACAGAAACTACAGCTAGTTGTACATGTCTCTCTCACGTATTTCATTCATCTCTGTTTTCTCTGCACCTCCAAGCTCTGTGCCTTGTACTTGTTAAGTATTCAATAAATATTTACTGCATCAAATTAGACTGATATCACTTTAAGTTTTATCACGCTTCCTGGCATCTCTTTGAAAGGTGATGGAAATAGAGAATATAAGTACCAGTTTATGCAAGAGCTTGTAACTCTTCTTCTTGTTATACTTATGTGTGCTGCCAGTGGAAGTTAGCCACCATTTTAAATTAAGTTATTTGTATAATAAATGACTAAGGATTTAAGAAGACCCTTCATTTAGAGAAGCTCTCATATCTTTAAAAATCTCTTTCATTGGTTATTGTAAGTGGGGAAGCATTTCATTTTCAAAGTAAAGCACCAACTTGGAGGATGATACTGAAAAAACCTTGTCTTAGAAAAACATGCAAATCTTTCATTTATTAATCATTTATAATCAATAAATTATGGGCCTTCCATTTTCATAGCTGATGAAACTAAGCACAGGTTTAGAAGTTAAATAAGAAACAAGGTTTGCTAATATCATTCACCTTTGAATATGTAGTTTCAGATTTTTAAAAAACTAGTGATATCTGGGGTGTTTTTAATGCTCAGAATTGAGAAAGTCAGCCAAGAGTCCATTCAACTTCGAATTCTCAAGAAGGGTAGGTTTTAGCAACATGTGACATTTGAAGGCTCAGGGTGTAATTTAAGGTCTTCCATTCTGTTTAATATGGAGTTTTGTAAGCCTTACTTAATTTCCTAGTGCCTCAGTTTCCTGATATTATTCTTGTAAAGGGCTCGCATGAAAACATTCTCAAAGCAACAGGTTAAATATATATTATTTTCTGTAAATTGAGTTTTATCTTCCACCTGGCTTAAAATAAAGGACCATTGCTTAAATGTCATCCTCCAAGTGAGATCTTTTCAGATCCCTGACTACTCTGTATTCCCCCACTCCCTGATTTATTTTTTCCTCTAGCACTTACTTGATCACTGTTTGCCCTCCTCCACTAGAATATAAGCTCCATTAAGACAGGGACTTGGGGCTACCTTGTTCATCACTTTATCTCCAGCACTAGAATGATGTTTGGTACCTCGTAATACTCAATAAATACTTATTGTATGAATGAATGAATTATGCAAATCTAGAAATGAAATAAATATACTGTAACAGCACTGAAGGCATGAATTAGATGTGATTGAATCAGCATGGCTAGATCTCAAAAGCATGAGTGAAATAAAAACAAACTGCAGAATAACACACATATTTTCCTCATCGCAAAATAGGTAATAGCATTGCTATCAGGATCAAGTTAGTTCATTAGTGTTAAATGCTGAGAACAATGATAATCAGTAAATGTTAGTTGCTATCATCATCATCACTATCACTGGTAAAATATAGCTCACATAAAATAATACTTCTAATTTTATATAGTTAAATAGCTAATTTAAGAGCTCTGGAAGGGTGCACTATAGACCAAACTGATTATTTCTGTGAGGAGAGAAGAGATCAGACTAGAATGATGGTCAAAAAGATTTTACTTTGATCTGTTATGTCCTGATAATTTAAATGTAAAATTGATGCATATGACTAAAAATTAGTATTTAGAAAAGTTCAGTCATATTTCCTAAGACATATGACCTATAGTGAGAAAGAGAGATAATAAAGAGATGAATTACTTCGGATAAGAATTTCAAAAGTTTTTTCTGTTTTGTTTCTAGTGCTTCTTGAATAACCCATAGTTAGGATTGAAAATAACCAGAGACAAGAGCCACAAATGTAACTGACCTGAAGTCCTGGGTGGATTGCATGAGCTAGTTCTCTTAGATTGGAGAAAAGTATCATTAACACAATCTTAAAATTAGGAATAAGTTATCTGAAACACTGTGTTGGTACTTACTGAATCTTGAGCCACTGCTCCACAAATGGAATGGAGAAGAATTCTGTGAAAGGCTCGCCTGTCCTCTTTGGATTTTGACTGCTCAGGATGCCATATATTTGATTCACAAGAGAACAATAAGCAAGAATTCAAGTTAGTTAGTTGTTGCTATTTTGCTTGCAAATTAACACTATTGAATCCTTAGGGTCATTGGATATTCAAAGATGGGAAAAACTTACTTGTATAACCACTCGGTCAGGAAGTCACAGGCAATAAATTTGGTTCTTTTTCTCTGAAGAGAGAAGAGAGAATTAAATGATATTCTTTGCCCCCAAGTGTGAGTAGGACAAAGGAAGAAAAGTTAATTGGTTGCTTGTGGTAGATGAAATATGCATGGGTCCTTCATGAGGTTTAACAGCACATTAACACATGGTCAGGTGACATAAAGAATTCTGAAGACATTTCTCCAGTCATCTTTAGATAAGCCAATTTCTGATAGCAGGGACTAATAAAAGACAGTACAGATTATAGGGAGCTTACTACATGCTTTTGGAATTATCTCAGAAGGATTTTATTTAAATCCAGACCTTGATTCTAAGTAACTATATTTATTGCCTTTCTCCTGTCCACTCAGATCCTCAGGACAGCAGTACTTCTGGTCTGGGTACCACTTTCAAACATGGAAGCCAAGAACACAGTTGCCATTGGCCAGTGTGGTTGATCCTGCCAGCTGTCCACCCAATAGCCACACTCCACTTAATCCTTATTAATAGAAACCTGATTGACAATCAGCCCAGAGGAAAAAAAACACATTTCCCAGCCTCCCATGCAGCAGGGACAGCCAGGACACAGTTCTGCCTTATGAAATAGAAATGAACATGCCCTGTGGATTTCTGAGAATGTTCTGCTTTCTTGACTTCTGCTCCCCCTTCTTCCTTGAAGTTCCCTTCTAATTCTTTGAGTCTGAAAGACAGATGTGGGGCTGGAAATGCAGCAGCACCTTTTGGCCATGAGGCCCAAAGCCACATGCAAGGAATGGTAGACAGGGAGTTGGAATGAACCTTGGCCTTTGATGACTTCCTTAAGCCACTGCCCCAGCATGGGCTGACATACTCTGGACCTCTTGATATGGATGGAAAAATAAACTTCATTTGGTTTATTACCACTGGTCTTGAGTTTTCATTACATGCAGTTCAATTCAGTCCCTAGAAGATAACTAGAGAGCTAGTAAGCCACAAGGGGAAAAACATGTCCTGGAGCCCTGGGGGAGAAGATGTGCTGAAAACAGCAGTGGGGTGGAGCACCTTGTGCCCTGTCTCTGAGACCCACTTAAAGTCTCTTATAACCAAAACAGAACTAGTCAATGCCTTCTAGAAGACTGTTATAGAACCTGGGAAATAAAGGGTTGCTTACTGCCTTTTCAAGAAAGCAGGGGCTAAGAACCACTAAGTCCTGAGGTGTGCTGCCATGTGAAGAGATCCTTCCCAAGATGAAGGCAATACAGTCTGCTGGAAATTCTCTTTGCCCCTCCAGGGCTATCCTTCTCCACCTTGCTCCGTGCCTCCTCACGAGGCTGATTTTATAGTTCACACCAACCAGTCTCTCTTACTGTCTAGTTGGGTCCAGCCAATGGGAGGTGCCAGCAGGAGATCTGAGACAGGGAGGAGAGAAAGACAGGGTGTTATGGGTTTAATTGTGCCCCCACCACCGAATTTGTATATTGAAGTCCTGACCCCCAGTACTTCAGGATGTGACCTTGTTTGGAAATAGGATCATTAGAAACATATAGTTAAGCCCAGGCACTCCTGAAGGACACAGCAGCTCTAGTGAGAGTGAACAAATCTGGTGTTCTTATTAGCAAGGAAGAAGGGAGATACAATTGGGTAGGCCACCAGTGGAAGCTTTCTAATGACACTGTACAAGGCCCTGGATCCAGCCACGCCTAGAGTCAAAATCCCGTGGACCTTTCAGGTACATGAGCCAATATATTCCCTTCTTTTAATTAAGCCAGTTTACATTGAATTGGTTAGTGCTTGCAACACCAAGAGTTTTCACTACTATCCCTTCTTCTCCAATCAGCTAACCCCCATTTGTCCTTCAAGATACCTTCAGGAAGCCTTTCTGAGCATCCTCACCTTCTTCAGCTTAGTAGCACCATCCACCAAGTTCTCTGTGTGTCCCTCTGCCAAGCACCTAACATAACTATTGGCCCATATGTCTATCTTCCCTGCTGAACTATAAATTCTGAGGGTAGGATATACATCTCTTTCCTTTATATTCCCAGCATGATTGAGTGCCTTGTGTGCAGAGCAGATGATGAATGAGAGCTGAGTGAATGAATGACCAGATCACCAGCCAATTCTCAAGCATCAAAGGAGGAGAGAGATTATGTACAAGAATCCTGGAGGAATTGCAAATATTTTATGTACAATTTCTCTTCACTTTCTTCCCATGTTTTATTATGAAAATGTTTCCTTCTTTTTTTCTTTGTTCCCCTTTACTTTGAAATAGCTGACTCAGCTTTAAAATCTTAGATAAGGTTGAAAAGATTGTTGTGAAATTGATTCTCACCAAAAAGTAAAGTGCTTAAGATTTTTTCCTGAAAGCTTTATTACAAGCCATTAGTAAACAAAATACAGTGGTGCCTGGGTTGCTGGAGATTGTTTGCAGTCTCTTACCTCATCACTAATGGCCTTTTATTAAAAAACTGAAACACTGCTGGCCAGGGAAATAAAATTAAATGTACTAGACCATGTAATGGGGTTTTCTCTAAGTCTGCATTGCAAGCATAGGATTCCCTTCAAAAAACCATCTTTAATCAAAATAAGAAAATACATGTGCAACAATGCCAATATGTATCTAGCACGAATTGCTGTATAATAATTTAAACAATCCAGCAATTGTATGATGGCAGTGTCTCTCTTTTCCCCCTACAAAAGATTCATTGTTTCCTTGGCATTTACTGTACCGTTTGGTGGTAAGGATTCTTTCTACCAAGGGAATGCAGCTTGACTTACTCTATTAAATAGACTTAAAATGGCCAAATGGTCTGATATATGAAGGTCATGCAGACAGATTTAATCACTTTTGATGCAAAGAAATAAAATGAAAGAAATTGTGTTTTCCTTCTGTTCTGGGCAAGCATGGACGTGCCGTGCATACTCAGACACAAAGAACAGTGGGGATATTGTTCAGCTGTTGTTTAGTTTAAAAATTATCTGCCAGGGAGTTGAAAGGGAGAAGGGAGAGCAAATGAAAAGTTGAGTGAAGAGATAAGGAAGGAAGTAATAGAAAAATGAGAGCAAGATGAAGAAAGTGTGGGCACCCAGGGGTTACATAATGCCAATGAATAGAGTTAACAGTGGTTAGAGGGTGAATATGTGGAGTTTGGGTGAACAAAGGAAGTAGTTAAGACAAACTCAAACACGGTTAAAAAGCAATTTAAAAAAATTCAGAACTAAAAGGAAAAAGGCTAAATGTCAAGGGTGAAAACACCATCACAGCATCATGAGTCTTTCTTTGAAATGCGTCCACAAAAACAAAATAGATGTACAGAGGGGAAGATTAATGGATTGGTGGATAGACTGGATGGATTTATTTGTGATGAGGCAAATAAAGCAAAATGATAACTGTGAATCTAAGTGGTAAATACATGGGTGTTTGCTCTGAGAAGTCTTCCAATTCTTCCAAATATGGGACAAAAGTTTTATAATAAAATTGAGGGAGGGGCAGGGGAAGAGAACATCATCATAAAAGACCCAAACCTTTAAAGAGAGAAAAAGCAGAAATTAGGGTTCAATCCAGTGTTTTGTGCTAATTTTTATGTTATTAATAAACATCATAATGTCCTGCACAGACAAACATACAGGAGACAGACGAAGGGCTGAAGACTGGGAAGAGAAACACCTAGCCCTGGAAAGTCCCTGCATCTATATCAGGTGACTAATGCAATTCCACCCCAGAAAGGTCAAATGCACATGCACTGAGGTCAGTCATCTGAAGCGTGGCTGGCTATGGCATTGTGTTGGTTGAGACTCTCTGGGTTTACAAATGATAGAAATAGACTTGGGTTACCTTGGTTACTGGGTTTTTTAAAAAATCTGTTTAGGCTAGATTTTGCTGGAATAAACACCCCCAAATCTGAGAAGCTTACATCATCGATGGTTTACTTCTTACTCATGTTACGTCAACACTGCCATCAGTGGTGGCTCTTTGCTCCACGTTGTCTTTACTGTGGGACTCAGGCTGACAGAGCAGACTCTCTCTGAAATATTGATAGCATCATGGCAGATGAAAGGAATATGGTAAACCATGCTTTGACTCTTAAATTGTGTGCTTGGAAATGACACTGGTCATGTCCACTCATTCCTTTGACCAAAGCAGGCACATGGTCAAGTCTCCCTTAGGGAAAGGACACAAATACTTCTGAACAATAATATATTCTAGCACAGGGGGTTACTGTAAAGACAGAAGGAGAGGAAGGGAAGTGAGAATTCCTCCAAGTGGGGCAGAGTCAAGTCTCAGGAGGAGGCAGACCAGTGTCTCCAGCTCTCCAGGACCCAGGCCAGGCCAGCCACAGCTGTCATCAGCAGCTCCGCAACCCACCAGAAGTCTGGATCCGGTTGTCGTGTGGCTCGGCTCTGTGGCCTGGCTTCTCCCCGACTTACTCCTGCTTCTGCTGTTGCCCTTTCCTGATCCTTTCTCCTCCTCTCTCTGCTCCAAGGCCTGTGAATTCACAGATTTTCAAGCCTTTGCCCTGTCTCTGGAGTCTCTGCCTTTGTACCCACACTGTAGCCGGTCTGTTCTCTGTGGAGTCTGACACCCTGACTCTCCAGAAGGGACACTGATTGGGTTGGTGAGAAAATACGCAGGACAGGCCGCCTCTGTTGGGCAGAGCTATCTTACCAGACCATTTCCTGTCCACTTGCCATCACAGAGTGGCTGCCCACAGGGCCCGACACTTAACCCTGATTCAATCACTGGTGGCCACAGTTATGGGGACGTGGACAAAGCAGGGACAAAGCACTGAAGTTAAGGCTGCAGGCATGGCATGCACTTAGCATGTCACTGCCTCCTCTCCCACAACAGACTTTCAGACACCTGAGACCTCTCGGACATGACAAAAGTGATGAACAACTGATCTTAGAAGCGAACACACACTTGGACTTTAACCAGATGCCAAACGACCTATCACACAAAACTTCAAACAGGGTTTTTTTTTCCTGCTGCATTAGAATTTTATTACAGAAAAATAAATACTTCTCAATAGAAGTTAAAAATACGCAGCCATAA